AATGGTACAAGGATTTTTCTATCTCTGAAGGTTGTAATGATCTCTTATCTGTGTCTAATGACCCAGTGAGTGATCATGTTCACCAAAATCCTAAAAAAACATACACCTTTGGTAGTAAGGCGAAGTGACAGTGGCTCTTGGAAAATTGTAAAGCGACAAAAACCCTCATCTCCTGTCCAGCGTGCCCCTCTTACACCTCCCACTGATACTATCTTAACACAAAACCGTTTTTTACCGTTGTCAACCTTGACTCCCGATACAACCTCTGACAACCCTCTCACGACTCCACCAGTCATAAATAAACCTCTCACCCACAAAAGTACCACAAAACCTTCCCATCCACAAAGGCGCAAGTATAAACAGCCAGAAATGTTAGTTAATGGCCCGACAATCAAAGTTTTTAGTGACAGCCATGGTCGCTCTTTGTCGTCCAACTTGAGATGGGATCTAAAAGATCATTGTAATGTTGTTGGTTATGTAAAACCGGGAGCAGAGATGAAACAGGTTATGGAAAATGTAATAGATTGTACCAAAAGTATGGCGAGGGAAGACTTTGTAGTCATTATGGGGGGCACCAACAATGTCGATGTGAACGGGCGCTGTAGCGAGTTTGTAGACGACTTGGCTCAAGTTTTGAAAACGCTGTCAACACCTAACGTTTTAGTAGTTGCTCTCCCTAAGAGACACGACCTTCCACATTCAAATGTTAAAATCAATGAAATTAATTGTAAACTTCAGTCTCTAGCTTCAGCTCATGAAAACGTGAACTATGTTTCACTCGACTCCTTATCCCGCCAGCACTTTACCCGGCATGTTCTACACCTAAACTGGAGGGGTAAAGTAACCCTGGCAAACCTTATCACATCCTACATCAATGGTTCAAAATCCATCACAAACTCACCATCATCACCCACAATAGATACTGATATCCAACCCAAAAACTCCACATCACATGCAAAATATACATCTACTTTCAGCACAAAACCTACTCCAATTCCTATTACCCACAAAAGAAAACCTTTCACCCGTACCATACATAACAGTCATTTTTTAGGGGAAGCACAGAAGCCAACGGGTGTTCCTTGGAGGCAGTTCCTCAAAGGTATACTGTAGGCCAGGGTGCACCGTCCCTTAAAGCCATTCATCAGAACATAAGGGGTTTGTTATGTAAAAAAGATGAGCTGGAAATATTTCTAAATGAAGAAAACCCTGATGTATTATGTCTAACTGAACACAACTTAAAAACTATGCAAATAGAAAACCTAAAAATTGATGGTTATGAATATAAATCATCTTTCTGTCGTATGCATATGAAGCATGGAGGAGTTGGTATCTGGAGCAAAACATTATTGAAGTGCAAACCTCTAGACTGTACGAAATACTGCATAGAGGGAGTTTGTGAGTTAGCAGCCATATCGCTTTCAATCAGCCCTACAGTTAAAAACTTAATAGTAGCAGTCTACCGTCCTCCATGTAACCAAGTTGATATATTTATTGATAAAGTGTCTGAATTATTGGATGATTTAAAAGGAAAGCATTTAAATATTATACTCATGGGGGACTTTAACATTGACTTATCAGACAACACTCTTCAAACAACTAAGTATTTGGCTTTATTATCATCGTATGGCCTCAAAAACATAGTTAAAAATTTTACTAGAGAAGTTTTAGGCTCCAAAACTTTAATAGATCATATAATTACAGATTGTTCATCATTCGAGAGCTCTGTTATTGTTTCGGCTTTGTCTGATCACCACGCTCAGGCTGTTATTATGCCATCACATATCTCATCTGACCGCCCCCCAAAAATAACAAGATTCGCCAGAGTATTTAACGACTCTAACAAAGGGGTTTTCAAATGCCTTCTAAGCCGAGAAACTTGGACGGACATGATGGAGACTGATGATGTCGACAAAAAATTTGAAGCGTTCTATGATCAGTTTAAGTATTTGTTTGACATTGCTTTTCCCAAAAAAATCATCCGTGCTAAGCAAAGAAACGTTTTTAAATTCCATGCAAGTAAGGATCTACTTGCAATGAAGGACGAGCTGCTATTCTGGTACAAGGAAACAAAGGACCTTGATTCTTCTCATACTTTGAGACGCCATTTTCTCCATCTTAAATCAAAATATCGCACAATGATAAGAAGCGCCAAATCCATTGTTATATCTAAAAGAATTGACAGTGCAGATAACAGATCAAAGGCGATTTGGAGTTTGATTAATCATAATAAGGCCCCAAAGAATAGAAAGATGGATAAGGTTTGTCTTGAAGTTGAGGGAGGAAAAACTATTTACGACCCTTCCTTAGTATCCGAAGTATTTAATACGTTCTTTTCAGATGTAACAAAACATTCCGATTACAGAGCTACAAGCAACACCACTTCTAGACAAAACATTAAACATAACTCATTTTTCCTATTTCCAACAATAGAACCAGAAATAAAACAAATAATTAATCAATTAAAGAATAAGATAAGCTCAGGAGCTGATGAAATACCCCCAATGATACTAAGAGAATTTTCAGATTTCATTGTGAGTCCACTAACAAATCTTGTAAATCACTCATTTCTTCATGGACGATTCCCCAACGCGCTAAAACTTGTTGTTATAAGGCCAATCCACAAAAGGGGAGAGCACACGAAATGTGACAATTATAGGCCCATATCTATGCTCTCAAGTTTATCTAAGATATATGAAAAGGCTGTTTTGGAGAGGCTTTGGGCTTTTGCCAAAAAGAACAATATAATTTTTAAAGATCAGCATGGATTTGTCAAAAGTAAAAGTACCACGAGTGCAATATTTTCTTTACTGAACCAAGTAGTGCAGGGCCTAGACACAAAGAAACACGCAATGGGTATTTTCTTCGATTTGAGTAAGGCTTTCGACATGGTCGACCATGACCTCTTACTAGCCAAATTGAATGATATGGGAGTCCGAGGAGTTGCTTCTGAGTGGTTTTCGTCATTTTTAAAAGGCAGGAAACAATGTGTTGAAATACAATCCATAGATCACACCGGTTATCAAAGCAGATTTAAGTCTTCAGAAACCCCTGTAACGAGAGGTGTGCCTCAGGGATCCGTTCTTGGCCCTGTGCTATTCCTGCTCTTCATAAATGACCTCCCCTCATGTGTAGCTCAAGGTAAACTGTGCCTTTTTGCAGATGATACCTCCCTGACACTATCCAGTCCTTCCCTAGAGTCACTCGAGCAAATGGCATTCCTCGAGGCGAATACCTTGCTTCAGTGGTTTGATGATAACCTTCTAAAAACTAACACTGCGAAGACCCAGCTAATCAACTTTCGAATCTCAAACAGGTCCAACAAAGATCCGAATCTGTCTCTTCTTCTCGATGAAACCATTATACATCCCGTACAGTCTGTAAAATTCTTAGGCATTCATTTAGATGAATGTTTAAATTTCAAAACTCATGTTGATTACGTAATAAAACGTGCAAGCACAGGCATCTTTGTACTTCGAACATTGGCCACAACAGCCTCGACGGAAGTTCTTCTTTCTGTGTACTATGGCTTAATATTCCCTTATCTAGTTTATGCTCTACCTGTTTGGGGATCTGAAAACAAACGAACCTCCTTCCTTTTTAAAATGCAAAAAAAGCCATTCGTGTCATATTTTCACTTTTCAAAAGACGATCTTGTAAGGAATCATTTAGGTCAGCTGCTATTTTGACTCTTCCCTCACTATACATCCTTGAAACCCTTTCCTTTGTAAAAAAACACCAGTCAATATTTAACACCAGCACTAACTGCAGTACATACTCCTTACGCACATCTCATAACCTGAAAATCCCTGTCCATTCAACCTCATTTTTTTAAAAAACATCTTTTGTATAATGGCATTAAACTGTTTAACCAACTTCCCCAACAGCTGAAGCTAGAGACTGATTTACTTAAATTCAGAAAGCAACTGAAAAGAATATTAGTTGAAAAGGCTTGCTACAGCGTCCGCGATTTCTCAGCTGACATGTAGTCAGTCATTCCTGTTAAGGTCCATTTCCTATCCTGCGACTGTTACGACTCTAGCCGCGCGGCTCTAGCCGCGCGTCTAGAGCCGTACGGCTGGAGACGCTTGTCTTATTTCCTATGCCGCGACTCCTACGACTCCCACGTCTAGTGTGACTAGTGCAGTTGAACTTTGACCGTCATGGAAGAAGCTTTGGCAGCGTACATTTTAATGGAAGAAGAGGAAGAAGAAGAACGTGTCTCCAGACGTTTTTTCGCACATATGCATCCTTGTTTTGGGGGTGTTTGGGGTTAAAAACAGATGAGTGTTGACGAACAAGTTCAATTAACCTTGAATCATCCATGATTTTGAAGGCACACACTTGAAACTCAGTATTTAACTATCAAAAACCACACAATCAAACAACTCAGTATACTATCAATTCGCGCCTCAACTCCGTATGTATGAACTATTTCGTTACAGCCGCGCGACTGAGCGACTGAACTGCTCACGGAGCAGTCCAGTCGCGACGGCTCGAGCCGCGCGGCTCGAGTCGCTTCAGTCGCGCGGCTGTAGACGCTCGATAGGAAACGGTTGCATTTACTTTGCATTAAAGCAGTCAATTTTTTCAGCCGCGCGGCTCGAGCCGCGCGACTAGAGTCGTAACAGTCGCAGGATAGGAAATGGACCTTTAGACTAAAGATTAAACAAGAATCAAATTGTTAGTCTTTGTACATATTATTTAGCCTACCTTGATAAGAATTTTTCAGTTTTTACTATTGTTTATTTTTATGACTTTTCCAATACAATGTGTTTTTTGTTATTTTGGAATAAAGAACTTATGACTTATGACTTATGACATATAATTGTCTACGCAGTGTATATACTCAATGCTCCCGTAATTTTTCTTAATTTTGCATCTTCAACCTGGGCCATTTCTCTGTCTTTGTGTGGCTACTCTGGTCGAATACTGTCCTAAACGAACTGTCATTTTAATTTGTCATTTTTGTATCATTCAAGACAAGCAGAACAGAACTAGCAGAAGCTAAAAGCTGGTGCAGAAGCTGTAGCTAGTACTTTGTTGTAGGTTCAGTTCAGATATCAGCATCAGAGAGAGTGTTCGATTGCCTACTGAGATTGAGAGTTGCTCTAATGAAGCTGATTTTTGTGATTTGTTTAGCTTAAAATTTTCGTTACCGGTACTTTCTTTTATTGCAAATCTTGTGTTTCGGCTGATTTTTGTTTAGGTTTGCTTCCATGCCAGTTCAAATGCTCGTTTCTTTGTGAAATTGATGAACATGGATTCACAACCCCTCAATCAGGACAAAGAATTAGAAGATATTAATGTGTCTATAATAACGTCAGATTCCGAGACCTTATACTTGGAAGATGATAACAACTCCTATGTTAGTGATTTACAGGGAGAAGAAAGAATTGTTTCACCAAAAACAGAACTCGATAGGACAAATTTTACAGTTGATCCTGCATTATACTTCAGAAACAATGATGAACTTATAGATGTTTTAAAAGCTGAGCAAATTAGGTGGTTTTATAAAAATTTATCAAATAAACAGTGGGTAGAGTTCAACGGTTATGATTCCTTAAGGATTGAACATAGATACAAAAATCTAACTGACAAGGAGTGGGCATACTACAATACAACTTATAGATCAAGAAAACCACAAGATAAAAATACAAACTGTAGCCCTACATATGAACCTTTAAAAAGCCCTCAAAGTATTAACCAAACAGTGAGACCTAGTGATGAAACCACTCCTGAGGAGTGCATTTCACCATGCGGTGAAATAAATGAAAAGGTGGTGGTAAGAGATGGTCTCTTCGAAGTTGACATTCTGAAACGAAACTGCACTTCCATCTTCTGGCCAGGTGAGTAGAATTTGATATAGGCTAGCCTACAATAGCTCTATGGGGTTTAATTTAAGGTTTAGGCTAACTGAAATAACTTTCACGAGGGTGTATACAGCTCCCGGATATCCGTAATCACTTGGGAAAATCACTGGTTTTATAGTAGAATCAGTCTGGATGAGCCAAAACCCCCCCCCCAAAACTGTATGATGTTGGCTAGCCCCAATTTTTTATAACAGATTTAAGTTATTGGTTGTAAATTTATAAAGATTTATTCATTGTAAGCTATGCAGATTTTAAGTTAGGCCTGTGCATTTTTTTAGGCCCTACCACGAATAATATAAAAGTAACCAGTATGGATCATAAACATAAACAAATAGGCTAACGTAACTGGCCTGAATCCTAAGCTAATGACATTAACATGCCTATGTTCCATTTAAGCAATGTTAAATAATATTGAAACTTTCTGGCCAGTAACATCATTTGTTTATGTTTATGATCCATGCGGGGTCTGTTTTATACTAAGTATTCATGGGCCCTACCAAGACATTGTCTGAACTACAAGATTTTTTATTCATTAGGTAGGCCTGTAACTTTCCCACCCTTAAGCGCGCACGCTTGTTTTTTTTTACGCTGGAGCGTGCGCAGGGGTCTAGTGGACCCCCAAATAAAAATGTCTATAAAAAGGATTTTTATATTTAGCTCCTTAAACTTTAGACGTAATATCTATAGACAAGTTTTTATTACAAACAAATTTTTTTTTTAATTTTACAAAAGTATAATATTTGTATTTAACTATGGAAACAGTAAATAGGTATTTCATGAGTTAATACATTTCCCGGTTTGTAGAAAATAGGCCTACTGTAAAAAAAATTGAAAAATTAAAAAAATTCTTTGATAATGTAACTTACTTTTAAACACAATTCACAAACATTTTAAATTTTCCCCTGGAATATTGGTTTTAGCGAATTTCCCAGATAGGGAATAAGCTATTACCGTAGTACTCATGGTAAGACCTGTACGCAGGACCGATTTTTTTTTCGTTTTGAGGTCTCTAGAGGCCAAAAACACCATCCGTTCAAATTCATATATATATATGTGTGTCCGTTAATATGATAACTCGAGCAGAAATGATCCGATTTTGATGAAATTTAGTATAAACGTGTAAACCTACATCTATTCGAACGAGTCCGCGAACCAGCATGATCAGACTATGGGAACGGGGGTTTACGGGGGGTTTTATGGGGTAAAAGTAGGTTTTTCCCATTTTTTCCCCAAAAAACATAAAATTTAGCAATTTATTTCCAAACCATTAGGGTATGTAGAGCTTAAAAAATCAAATAGACCTAATTTAGTATATTGAAGCTTTATTATGCGCCTAATGGTTACTTACGGAGAAAATTCCAAAAAAATGTACCGGTAAATTTAAAATTCCCATGTTATTCTTATGGAGAACAAGTAATCTGTTGCAGTTTGCTTGTTTATTAACATATTTTGATCAAATTTGGAAAATGATTTTATTTCTTACTAACTACCGGTATTAACATTTTACAAAAAAAAAAAAAAAAACAGTTTTACCCTCCCTGATGCAGCAAACCTAAGTAGGCCTACTTGTTAAACAAATTCTATTTAAATAGGAAAAAAATATTATAGTATTTTTAAGTACAGTAGACCCCCTCTTATCCGACCTCGTATTAACCGATAATCGGATTATCCGCCTTCGATCGTAAAATAATAGTTTGTTTTAACCGACCTTGATTTGAGAGCAGTTCGGTTTAACCGCCGCTTTCTAGGAATCTTGGCATTTCCGCTCCCACGCTGGGCGATGAGAACTGAACCATACGCTTATCTCCACAGGATATGACTAAGAATAAGTTATTTTGTATTGATCACAAAAAATATAGGATATTGTCAGTTTGTTATCTTTGCGGAAAATGTATAACATCGTAAAGTGCGTTACGATTTTGAGAACTGATTATCTAATCGCTGGAGTAAACAAACAATGCAACTTGTAGGGAGGGCTGGGAAGGGGGGTTAACAACTCCAAGGTCAAGATAGTTTTTGTGCCTCGAGCTTCCAGTGAGAGGCTATAAATAAACATCCTGTCTTGTAACAAAATGGTTGCTTGTATCTTTAATTTCGACAAAAGGTTCTGTACTGTAATACGATGGACTTGGAAAGCATCAATTAATACATTACAGTTCTAATGTTATTAAAATTGACTCTTGCCTTGTACTATACAAGTAATATATTCCACTGAAAGTTGGCCTATTTTACTTAACCGTGTTTTGTGTTTATTTGTGACTTTTCTATCAATACGTAAAAGGAGATAAGAGTAGTTTATTTTATAAATAATGCAAGTATGACTTCAAAATAATGATTATATAATTCCAAATGAATAGAAGGGATTGCCCGTTTTAACCGACCTTTTGAGTCATCCGACCTAGGTCCGGTCCCATTAGGGTCGGTTAAGAGGGGGTCTACTGTACCGGTAAACGTTTTCAAAGTGTAAATCTAATCAGGCAAATGGAAATTTGCTTAGTCTGCAGGTGTCATTTTTATATGTCTACTTACAGTTTTTTTTCACGCTGAATCCAAAAATTTTGTTGGAGAGATTCCTAAGTCGCTGTAAAACGAAGCTTAAAATTACGAATCTAAGGTTCATTGAGCAGTACTGATGGTTATATGGCGTGGTAATATACTCGACTTAATGCGGAATGAAATCAATTTGTTTTGAAACTAATTAATCAGCTCTTATTTAGGCATGTGGGGAAGGTAGGTCGGGTTTTATGTGGAATCGTGACTGTATTAAGTGTTTTGAAGTTAGTTTAGATTAGGAAGGTAAAGTTTAGGTTAGGCCTATAATGAACCGAACCGACTCATTAATTTATACTACCTCCAGACTACGTGGCTATTTTTATTTCTTTGTGAAAATGGACTGTACAGTTCAAATTAGTAAGTTATAGTTTACAGTAGTTTTGACTCCATCTATCCAGCCAACCACTGGTCAAAGATGAAGGAAAGAAGTACCTAGGTTTTGAAGTAAATGTTGGACCCCAAATATTATCGGTTGAATAGCAGGGGGTTGAAATAACAGTGAATTGTATATGGGTAAAACCACAAATATTACAATAACTTTTGAACAGTAAGTATTTTTTACAGCTTTGGGATTGTAGAGCACAATTTAGAGTTATGGATCATTACTTGCTAGATTTTAATTAAAATCTTTCAAGCTGTTCATAGAGAAATCTACATAAAAAAAAAAAAAATTAAACTTAAGATAGGTACCATGGATTAGTCAAATTGACTTAACACAGTCAATGTCAGTACCCACATACCAAATTTAATCTAAATCCAATAACAGGTCCACTCGCTTGTAGCTCTATCCACACACACGCATAACTTCAAAAACTACTTTATGAGTTCAAGGGGACCACGAATATTTACACCCAAAACCCAAACTTAAAAATGTTGACAAAAACAATAGCTTACTTTATCCACACATACTATGAATAGGGGGACAAGAAAAAAAAATGATAACTAAAAGTACTAAATCAAATCATAAAAATTAAAAAATTATCGGTACTTTGGTATTATCCAGAGGCCACCCTTATACAGCGTGCTGCGGTGGTTATGTTAGGTTGGGTTATCATAAATGGAAAAACATATACTTTAATTGACTTACTGTCCAAATTTGATTTTATTAATATTAGCGGCCTATGAGTTCTGCCTCCCAGAAGGCAGCGATGTCGGCAACCATTGAGTTGAATGTGTCGCCGGCCGCCGCCTCTAACTGCCAAACCAGATACACAGGCGGTGACAGGTGATGCACGCGCTCCTGTCAACGACCTCACCTTGGAGTACTTGGAGGGGATATGGCGAGGGAAAGTATGACTCCTACAAGATAAGGGAAGTCCTACAAACATATTTATGATAACCCAACCTAACATAACCGCCGCAGCGCACTGTAGGCTATAAGGGCGGCCGCCGGATAATACCAAAGTACCAAATTATCTACAATGTGTAGTTATAATTTATTTAAATGCTAGGTGAAGAAACTGTCATCACCCGTGGAACGTGGTTCTATGAAAATACCTGGCAGCCAGTGGAGTTGGACATTAGTGAAGATCTGGAACACATTCATTTATCTCTATTCATTGGAAAAAGAAACTCTGAATATATCCAAGATGCTAAAGCTCCTAAAAAAGGTAAAACTAATTTAAAAACTTTAACTAGGGTAATTTAATTTTTTTAAATTAAGTAATAGCTATTTACGTTACAAGTTAAGTAAGAGTGTTTTACATCACGCAGGTGAATGTTGTGCGAACTCGCTTCCGCTCGTTGCATAATTCACCTAAGTGATGTAAACACGCTCTTGTGTAACGTGTAACGTACAAGATTTTACCTGACCCGACAATATACAGGGGGTTACGTACAAAATTTTTCATTATCCATTTCACTCATCTTCTAACAGTAACGTTCTTTTACAAACAAAAGCTAGGTTAGGAAATACTTTAAAGCATAACAATAACATTCAAGCTCACAGCTGATTTCTAGTGTTGAACGTCGTTGGCTCCATATTAAGTTTTATTAAGTTGAGCAATCAATGTTATTTGAATAGGTTCTGTTTTCACTTCACTGAGGGAGTTTTTGAAACTAGTTTTAAGCCTATGTAAAATCTTCAAGTAATTATGTCTATAAGGTTTTGTGAAGTTTAAAATACCTGTTACTGCCTAGTGATTCTGCTGCTCCTCTGTTGGACTTCGCGTTTCGATGTGAATACTTTTAAAATGTGAAGTATATCCATAAACAAGCAAAATACAATTGTTTACTTATCCTCAATAAAAACCCATTTACACAAGGCCAGTAGAGCAGGCAGGTTACTTGCCTCGTTACCTGCCTGCTCTACTGATCTCGTTTAAACGCGGCTTAAGAATAACATGGGCATTTTAAAAAGTACAGTCTTTTCTCAGTTCAGGAATTTTCTCTGTAATATTTAAGCATACAACAATGCTTCAATATTCACTACTATATCACTTCCTCTCGTCAATGAACACAACCCAATTGTTAGGACACAAGTGGAACCTTGATAAGAAGACCCTCGATAACAAGTCGCCCTTGATAACCAGTATCATTTTCAAATCCCCTTAAAATTTTTGTACCTCTAATCACATGTTATTACAAACCTCGTTAAGAAGACAACCTTGATAACAAGTCTTATTTTACAATCCCCATGAGAGTCTTGTTATCAAGGTTCTACTGTATAATGTATTCGATTTTTTTCCAAGAGCTGCAGACAAGCGTAAAAGCAAATTCTCACAGTTTTCTTAAATTCATACCACCTTCCATTGAATACTATTACTAAACTTATCTTACCCAGGGACGTATTTAACTATCTGCCGCATCTAGGCAGCGAAGTTAGCCGCTCCCTCCCCCCCACCATCGTCATCGCGCTCCCCGACCTCACTAAGATTACCCCAATACATGCACTGCCAGCTGTTTGTGTAGAAAAGCAGGGCCGGACTTAGGACTTCAGAGGCCCCGGGCGAATTTGCCGATGGGGCCCCCAGTATGATTATACGAGAACATATACGGTACACAATGTAACGCATTTACATGCACACTAATTTCAAATAGCTAATTTCAAGGTGAATTAATATGTAAACCTGTTGGAATGCTGTATTTTGCATAAACTAATTGTATGAAATATTTTAAGTCTGAAAATAGCTACAATGTACGGTGTTATTTTATGATTTGTTCTTGTTGTAATTATTGTATTTATAAAATTGTAATATACCTAGCAGGTACCTTACACATTTTTTGCAATACATTAAAATGTAATATCCTTTGCAACAAATAATGAAAACTATAGATAAAATAAAAATAAAATAACACGTACTTGTAAAAGGTTTAATTTAATTTATTTACTGTAATACACATTCTATTTGGTGCTTGAATGAAAACTCAAATGAAAAATAACTAACATTAATTAATGGAATAAGTTATATTTAAACACGTGATGTAAGTCAGAGATAATGCATAAACTTTTAAAGCTTTAATATATTTTATAACTTACTATAATTTTACTAACAAACCTTTACTGTACTAAGTTTATAAGATACAAGTCAAAACAATTTTAAAGTTTACTTTTTATAGATTAATCATTATAAAGTTTAGAACATAGTTATTTTCCCTATAAATAAATGTCACTTCCTACTCTGATACGTTGGTCACGTTGGCATGGCAATTAAAACCTCCTGCTTTTCCTACATTTTTTGGCTGCACTAAAACTATAAAATCATAAACTATGACTTATGTTTATTTTCATAGTGGTTTTGGCATGGAATTCTCGTTTGTATAATATGTTAAAAGTCCTAGCATGAAAAGTACCATTAAGAACTTTTACGAGTTTGAGTTTTTTTCTTGACGAGTAAAATGTTACAATACAAGTCTAATAACCAATCACAAGCTAACCATTTATATGAGTGAACTGAAAGATGTTTAAATGTATTCAATATAAATTAATACAACACAAACATAACATTCAATACAACATTAATTTGTTCTTTGTAGTGTTTGCAGAATTAATAATAAAATACAACACAAATGTATGATAATGTCAACCAAAAACACACTGGGAGTGATTTAAATTGTTTTGGATTGGCGATAAGGCATTGTATGTATGTGTATGCGCGTGCGTGAGACATACAAGACTAGACAGGATTCCTTATCAGCTCATTATCATTAATTGTTGCAGCTGCTTGTTGAGCGCTTTTTTACGATTACAGTCGACAACGCTCGCCCGCTCCCAAATAATGTAATTTTTGTTAACATCAGACGACCCTAGTTGTCATAAAATGTCTATATAGATTTTTTATCCTACTGGCGCTGAATGATTTTGACTCTTTGATTTTGATTTTGATCGACTAAATTGAAGATCCGAATTTCGACGTATAACTTAATTACTATTTTATAAAACCTTTTAATTGAATGGGTAATATAATACTTCTGCCCCTTAAAATCGTGAATGGCATATACTTAGAGGTAAAAGAATAACATCTAATAAAACAGATTTTTCAAACAATGTTTTTATTTTTCAAAAGTATTAAATCTCAATTGAATCTCAATTTAACCCCAACACAATTGTACAAGTTACGTTCTACGTTAGGACAAGAGTTTTCATATTATTTATTGTATTTTTTGCCCCAAGCGAAGGGGCCCCCTTCAACTTGATCACCACGGCCGTAGGTTTGTGTGAACGGCTTCATTGAAACTCAAACTGGTCCGTCACAGCCTAGCAGCTATGCTCGTGTAAACTAGGTCTAAGCGCGGGGCCCAGTGCAACCCTGAGGAAAAGTCCCTTAGAGTCAAGAATTTTGGTCCTAGTAATACCTTAAAGTTCATCTAACAATAACCTTAAATATAAGATAACGACAATAAAGCTGTTAAAAAAGAAGATCATTCGGTAAGTGTCTGATTAATTTTCGAAGATATTAATAAAAACTACTGTGCAAGGGGCCCCTTCGGGGCCCCCCTAGGCCCGGGGGCCCCGGGCGCTCGCCCCGTCCGCCCCTAGGTAAGTTCGGCCCTGTAGAAAAGTAATTAGCAATTGCATGCTGCATCAACAAATCTAAATCATTTTGAACCTTTTTTACATACATTTCTGTTTTGCCGTTTTTTTGCAAATCGCAAAGAGAACAAAACAAAACAATTTGAAAATCTGAAAATAACATTGCAGATACTTCTTTTTGACTAATTCAAACCATGTTGATAAAAATAAAATTTAAATATTAACAGCTGTTTCATTAAAAAGTAGTGAAAAATTATCCATATGGCCTTAATGTAAACAAATCTGGGGAGGGAACTTTAAAGGTCACTGGAGCAGAGCCCCGAGGGAATTTAATTTGTTTTTTTTCTTTTGATGCCTCATCTACAGACCAAGACCTTTCTTTAGACACCTCTACCAAGTTTCTATACCCAGCCGTACCCTCAAATTAGTGGAGACAAAGTTTCCAGTTAAATTCCCCATGTTAACCTCATGGGAGGAAAGCCAACTTTGATGGAAAATCCTGCCAAAACTAATAAAGATTTCAAAAAATGAAAACCACTTTGCAAAACTACAGATCAGGGCCATTTTTGAAAATTATTTTAATCATCAAAATCTGTCTAAAAATGAGGGAGGAGTTCAGTTCACAAAAATATAATAGATAGACTTAAAGATATACAGGGTGTCCTACAGAGAGGTTTAGATTATTGATTTTATTATTTTTTCCAATTTATCTACCAAAGCATTTGGTAAGATAAAAATTGTACATTTACAAAATAAGATTTGAAAACTTTGTTTGTTAAAATTTTAGCTTTTTAAATTTGTAGAAATAAGACATTTTTTAAGATTGAAAATTTGACCAATTTGCTTGCTACAAAAATTACTTTCTCAATATCTTTCTAATCAGCATATAAGCATATTGCTTGAACCATAAAAATGCAGTTTTAGTGGAACTAAGATTTTAAGAATTACTTTTAATGAAAAAAATTTAAGTGTTGTGCAAGGGATACTGCTTTCATAAAATTGAAGAAGCAGTTAGAAATCTTTTTACTGTACAAGTTTCTTACAAAAGATTTGTTCACTTCACTTAGTTATTTTTATATTACTATGTAGTTCAACTCCTTGGTAGGTTGTCTAACTGCTGTTGTTTAACCTGAAATTGTCTAACGTTACTAAATACTTGGCACAGTACATAACTTTTTGTTTGACATTAAAAGTCATCACTCCAACTTTAGTTTCAGTAAAACTGTACTTAAGAGGATTACGTTGTGTTTTTATGGCTCAAACGATTTTTGTCAATCAAACAGCCGCTCATCAATAAGTGTCAAGACTGAAAAGCAGTAAGAATAAGAATAATAAGAAAGTTATTACTATACAAATCAAATTGGTAAAATTTTTAATACCGTATGCTACCATTTTGTTTCTAGAAATGTTCCAAAATTGAGATTATTGCACAATATTTTCAAATCCTTTTTATAAATTGTATAAAGTTTCAAAGCTTTTAGAGCATATTGGGTTAGTAATATAAAACCAAATGTCTAAAACACACACGGGGGGGGGGGGGGGGGGGGGACAACCCGTATATACAAACTTTAACCAATAGTGTTTTTGGCCTATGGGATCAAAAAATAAAGTAAAGAGGCCCTGAGACCTACGGTAAAA